CGTCGTTGTTATCCTGTCGCTCCCATTGCCGTCACCGCCACTGCACCAGGCCCTTTCCCGCTCCTCGCCTGCTTCCACCGCTGGTCCTCGCCCCCCCCCCCCCCCGGCATCCTCCCTGCCTCGTCCGCCGATTTTCTGCTTGTGCATCCAGCCGTCGACCACACCATCAAGCCCGAGGCTTCCTCCGCCCCGGTGCTCAACACCTCGGAGTGGCCTCTGCTCCTCAAGGTCCGCCTTTATCATCCCCTGCTGCCCCTCGCGCTTCTCGCGCCCCGGGACTCCCCTTTCCCGGTGTTCTTCTCCTCTCCCCATCGCACAAACACCGATGCCTATACGCAAACATGCCTGACCCATATTGCATCCCCCGCCCCATCCCACCCTGCTGCCCCACATGCGCGCTAATCATGGCCCCTCTCATGGTCCACAGAACTACGACAAGCTCAACGTTCGCACCGGCCACTACGTCCCCATCCCCTCCGGCCATTCGCCCCTGAAGCGCCCTCTTCGCGATTACATCCAGTATGGTGTGATCAACCTCGACAAGCCGGCCAACCCCTCCTCCCATGAGGTGGTCGCCTGGATTCGCCGCATTCTGCGCTGCGACAAGACCGGCCACTCGGGCACCCTGGACCCGAAGGTCACTGGTTGCCTGATTGTTTGCGTCGACCGCGCCACTCGCCTGGTCAAGTCCCAGCAGTCTGCCGGTAAGGAGTACGTCGCGGTCCTCCGCCTGCACGAGGCCCTCGACGACGAGAAGAAGCTCTACCAGGCGGTGGAGACCCTGACTGGCGCTCTGTTCCAGCGCCCGCCTCTCATCTCGGCCGTCAAGCGTGTCCTCCGTGTGCGCACCATCTACGAGAGCAAGGTCTTCGAGTTCGACAACGAGCGCAACCTGGCCGTCTTCTGGGTCAAGTGCGAGGCCGGTACCTACATCCGTACCCTCTGCGTGCACCTTGGTCTGCTGCTCGGCGCCGGTGGCCACATGCAGGAGCTTCGTCGTGTCCGCTCCGGCCACACCTCTGAGCAGGTGCGTCTTTCTCTCCCTCCTCCCCCTCTCCCCTCCCCCTCTGGCCGCCTCTCGGCTGCTTCCAATCTCCCTTCCTGAGATGCTGACCCTCTGAGTCCCGCTCCCCTCCTCGTTGCCTTCGTTCGCGCGCGCGCGCACACACACACACACACACACACGCACACGCACACACAATATGCACAGGACAACATGGTCACCATGCACGACATCCTCGATGCCCAGTATGTCTACGACAACTCTCGTGACGGTGCGCCCCCCCCCCCTCGTGTATCCACACATGCCCATGTGGCCGCTGTGCCTCGCGCCCCTCTTGCCTCCCCTACCCCTCATGCTCACCTCCCCCCTCCCCTATCCCCCCGCTCCAGAGTCCTACCTCCGCCGCGTCGTCCGCCCCCTGGAGAGCCTTCTCGTTTCGTACAAGCGTGTCGTCGTCAAGGACTCCTCGGTCAACGCCATCTGCTACGGCGCCAAGCTCATGATCCCCGGTCTGCTGCGCTACGAGAATGGCATCGAGTCTGGCGAGGAGGTTGTCCTCATGACCACCAAGGGTGAGGCCATTGCCCTGGCCGTGGCCGAGATGTCCACCGCCCAGATGTCCACCTGCGACCATGGCGTTGTTGCCAAGATCAAGCGTGTCATCATGGAGCGTGATACCTACCCCCGCCGCTGGGGTCTCGGCCCCAAGGCCCAGGAGAAGAAGGGCCTCATCAAGGCTGGCAAGCTGGACAAGCACGGCAAGCCCACCGCCGCCACCCCGGCCTCCTGGTCCAAGAACTACGTCGACTATTCGTGCGTCTTTCCCGGTTCCCCCCCCCCCCCCCCCCCCCCCCCTCTGTCCCTATGCCCAGCCACCTTCATGCGACCTCTCTAACACGCTTGTTGCTTCAGCTCCCCCGACGCTCCGGCCCCTGCTGCCGCTCCCGCCGCCGCTCCTGCTGCCCCCGCCGCCACCCCGGCCGTTGTGGCCGAGGAGAAGTCCGACGACAAGAAGGAGAAGAAGGAGAAGAAGGAGAAGAAGGACAAGGACGAGAAGAAGGAGAAGAAGGACAAGAAGGAGAAGAAGGAGAAGAAGGAGAAGTCCGACGACGTGCGTCCCCCCCCCCCCTCCCCGCTTCCATCTCTCACTACCGGTTGCTGATGCGGTTCCCATGGACTTTTGTTTGCGTGAGCTGCCTTGTTTATTGACACCTCCACTGTCCCCCCCCCCCCCTCCTCCTCCAGTCCGAGAAGAAGAAGAAGCGCTCCAAGTCCGAGTAGATTCATTTATAGACCGCCCCCAGGCAGGAGCAAGGGGCTGCTCCCCTCGCTCTGCCGCGTCCCTCTACTCATCTCTCTCCCCCCCCCCCACCCCCCACTGCACACACACGCACACACACACGCATATACAACTTCCCCAGCCCCTGTCACTTTAAAAAAAGCCCAAGTGTAATATAGCATATACATGTATATCTTCCCCTTTGTGCCCTTCCCTGTCCCTCCCTCCCACGCGCACAGTACCGCAATCTCTCGCGGTCGGGGCTGGGCTCGACACATCCGATGGCTGCACATTTTGTTGGGCGCCGTGTCTATTCGGCGGTTCCTTGCCGGATTGAGGCTGTCTGGGCGGGGGGGGGGGGGGGGGGGGGGG